AATTAGACCCCAGAAGATAGCGAACACCACCACCACGGCCACTAGCATCTTCACTACCTATCATGCAAGAGTTATATGTGAATTTGAAAAAATTCACAGTCGAAGTGAAACGAGAAGCATTGAAAGGATGCTGTGGTCTCAGGATTACCTGCACACTGTACAACAACGTTCCAAATGGCGTGAGCGTCGTCCGAATCTCCAACCTACCGATTTCGTCTTTATCAAGGAACCGACACTCCTTCCCGCGAAGTGGCGTCTCAGTCGAGTAATAGAGTGTTTCTTCGATGCCGAAGGGTTAGTTCGCTCCGGTCGAGTCCCAACAGAATCGATTGCGCTCATTCGTCCCATCATGCAACTCTGCAAATTGCCCGTCAAAGACCAGTGAGCGTGGTCACTTCCCCATCGTATGCTTTTGCGTAGCACCATACCGTGATTTCCTCTTTACGAGCGTTAGTTGTCGCCCTGCGAACGTGAGGGACTTATGTGTCACGGCATTCCCGATAAGCGATCCGGGGTATGTGACCGCTAACGCGATGCGATTCGTTGCATTATAAAAACCCGATCATACACTCCAGGGACTGTGAATGCCATTGAATCGTATTATTTAATTTCCATTCCTTGAGTGAAGGAGCTCGCGATTCATGATTCGACATTCAGTGTTTCCCTTCCTACCTCACGTCTGCCCTCCTGACCGAGTGCGATGACATGACCCACTTGCCTCACAATAGAACATCTGAGAGCATCAACAACGACCTGGAATCCCTGTCTTCAAACCATCTCCTCGCCACGGCCCTATCTTGCCTCAAGTCTTGGGATGGAAAACTCTTTCTGAACTGGTTCGAGATAAATGCGTAGATGATTGGATTTATGCAGTTGAAATTCAGTGTTTATTCAGTGTTTATACAACAAGTCAGATCAGAATTTACTGGTTATTGTTAAAATAAAAGGACACTTGCTCGATGTACTTATTACAAAAGGTCATCCATTGAAACGCGCTGTAAAGGTGTTTGTGCATTCCCCATTTCGCTCGTGGTAGGACACCATAGGCGTTGAGGGTGTTGTCTGTGAGAATTGGACCCCAGAAGATAGCTAACACCACCACTACGGCCACCAGCAGTTAAGTCTTTCCCCCCTTCCTGGTGGAGCCGATGCGCCGATAGATAACCCTTCCTGCGTCGCGCCTCGTACTAACACCACATTCAAATTCCTCCAGACTTTGCTTCGACAATCGCCAGTATTAACCCACGTTTCATCTAAATAATAAATGGATCGTTCTTCTTCTCTATACTGGCGAATTGTGCGAATATACCGCTCCCTCCATCTAAATATGTATGGCTGCTCCATCACAGCACAATTTTTCATTCGACTGGTGTACCTAAAATTCAAAGATTCAAAATTCTATATAAGGTGGTGTAACTGAATGTTAGTAAACTTCCATCAGCATTTATGGCTGCCAGCAGCAACTTGATGGTCGGGAGCTTCTTTCGTTGCCAATATTGGTGAACCTTTAAACGAAGAAGCGTTTTCTGATCCATCGCCATCTTCTCCAAGATGGATAATCGCACTTTCTTAATGCTAGGAGAAGTGACGGTCCTGTCGCGTTGTACTCCCATAGCGTTCGATTCTTCCAATTCTAGTTTTTCGTACAAACACCGGATAACCTCCTTATAACGCATATCCGGGTTTGCACTTTGAAGGTCTTTGTACAGATTTACAATGATCTGTTTTTGATCAGCATGGACAATCTAAAGAACGATAAAGCGAAGTTCGAATTACCGAATGTTCGCCAAACGTGAAACCCAAAATGGTACACACATATGTAACGTCCCAGCGGTAACATAGTTCAAGAAAAAATCGTAATATTAAATTAAATGTTTAGTCGATAATAGTAAACCTTTATAGCATTAGATGGTGTGCACGCTCGCGTTAGTAATAAGAATAGGTAAGCTTGCGTGAGAGAGATAGCGATAGTATAGTGGGAAATACCCGGGAATTTCCAGCGTTCGAAGTTATAGTATAATGAAAAAACCGCTACGTCAGCAAAATCTGAGTATAAATAGAGGCGTTCCACGCGGAGAAAATTAGTCTGGTTTCGACCACGCTCAGGTACGATTCGGCTTAGGTTGAGTACAGTTAGCACTCTGTTAGTAAGCCACGAACAAGACTTATCTCAGTACTAGCTCACTTAGGTAGAGCAACAGCTGCAGAGGGAACCCGAGTTAATTCTTCGCTTTTATATCAGTAACAAGTATGGATAACGTCTATAAACCTGGGGTACTCTACTCACGGTTTGCAAAACGGTTTTTCTACGAAAGCTGAAGCTCAGTACACAGCTCTAGCATTGCTAGAAACCGATCAGCGGCCTGTAGGGAAAACTCCTTTAATAGTGTCTATCGGTTCCATACAAGTCATTGATTATTGTTATTTTCAATTAATTAGATTATAGATTAATTAAACAGAGTGATAACCGTACCTTTAGATTAAGTCTGCGTATGTAATATTTGACTACGTTTAATAATAATATTTTCTTTATATTTTCATCTAGCGCGGACTCGTTATAATATTAATCATATTATTTTCTTTTATATTTCTCCTTAGGGCGGAACCATTGTAAAAGAAATTAATTATTTCGAATACCAGTCACACACGATTCAACTGAAGTTTTGAGGAGAGAAAATTTGAAATTTATCCGCCTTGCGTCCCTTATCAAGCCCTTTTGGGTTACGAGAGTATCTCATGTAAGGGGCGTGAGGTGGGTGCTTCACTTTTCCGCCAATCCTTTCATTCCTCCTCGACCTTGTACAGGGTGTAAAAAAATTAAATGTCACGACCTATATGGGGTGATTCTACACCTCTGGATCGGTGGAGATCTGTCAAAGAAAGCGACCGCAAAATTGACCTTGACCCCTAATTTCAAGGTCAAATTTTTTTATTGGCTTATCGTATAGTGCTCATCGAGGAGATAAAAAGTCTGAAAGGAACCATGTGCCGGAAATCAACCCTTCCCCTAGAAAAAAGCCGTCAAAGTTTCCCTATACGTTAATGCATTAAACGTTGAGTCGCGCGGTACCCCTCTCCAGTGATCTTGGCGCATCAGTCTCGCGTATCGCTCGAATTTCATGCTATAGGATAATTCTTGAATTTCAATCACAATGCCAGCATATAGGAAGGGTAAATTCTAAGAGAGCATATTTAAAAAGACAAAATAACGACTGCGTGTAAAAGAAAATAAAAGAAAATAAAAGAAAATAACTGCGATGTGTTAACGAACTGTGAAATGATAAAACTAAACATTTATCTTGCGTTTATATTCGAAGTGCAAAACTTCAGTGAATTAAATTCATTCTTATTTTCTTTTACACGCAGTCGTTATTTTGTCTTTTTAAATATGCTCTCTTAGAATTTACCCTTCCTATATGCTGGCATTGTGATTGAAATTCAAGAACTGTCCTATAGCATGAAACTCGAGCGATACGCGAGACTGCCGCGCCAAGATCACTGCAGAGGGGTACCGGGCGACTCAACGTTTAATGCATTATGGTATATAGAAACTTTGACGGCTTTTTTCTAGGAGAAGGGTTGATTTCCGGCACATGGTTCCTTTCAGACTTTTTATCCCCTCGATGAGCACTATACGATAAGCCAATAAAAAAGTTTGACCTTGAAATTAGGGGTCAAGGTCAATTTTGCGGTCGCTTTCTTTGACAGATCTCCACCGATCCAGAGGTGTAGAATCACCCCATATAGGTGGTGACATTTAATTTTTTTACACCCTGTACATTCTTGTCAAGCCTTTCGAGGTTACGAGGATTTCTCATGCAGGGATGTTCAAGGAAGAGTTTGAGTTTAATTCTTTTCTATTTTTGACTTCTTCTATCGCTTTCTCTTCTTTATCTGCTCTACCCCGGACTCGTGTATCTTGTCAAGCTCTTTCGAGGGTTACGAGAGTATCTCATGCGAGGTACACGAGGAAAGGTCTTTTTCTATTTCCTTCTTTACAATAGTTTACGTGACCCTCCTTGAAACTATCGTCGCCAACCAAAGTAACACAATACAGTTTAATATAGCGCACAAAAACTCGGGTTTAGTTCGGGAGAGAGAGAGCCGTAGCACAACATCAGCGCTACGCAGTTAGCCAGTGCTTCGCATTTTGGGAATTCCCCTGCTAACTGCGTAGAAACGGGAAAACCGTAATAACTCCTTTGTTAGAACACTCTTTCTCTCTCTATTGCACAAAGCGTCAGACGGTCCAACAAGGATCATTATTACCTGATCGGAATGATAGCGTGAAAGAGTGGACGAATGAATATGCATTTAAACAACGAAAGTAAGGAATGAGAACCCTTATGAAAGCGAACGTCGCGAACGTTCGACCGCCGTTCGAAAATCAAGGGTCGTTCGAGGCAATAAACACTATTGTATTGAAAATTCTAAGAACTGCCTGGCGACAACGGCAAATTTTGAACAAAGGAACGTTCTAGAAGGAATGCTCGCTAGATCGAAAATTGTTTAAATTCATTAGAAAGCGAATGCCGAATCCATCCGAACGAATATGCAAATAGATTGTATAACAAATGTATAATTGCCACGGCAGTGCAATTACCATAAGCGCATCGTCCGCTTTTAAACTATTATAATTGACAATCTTTGTTGCAAATCAGGAAAGCGAATAATTTTGATCTTTGTTAAGGGAGAATATACGGATGACGGCTTCATCCTTTAAAAGACTATATATTTTAATCTTATATCTCATTTTACCATTCAACCTAATCAATAGTTGCGATCTTGTCAAAATTCAATAATTGTAAATTCAAATAGAAATACTGCGTAGTTTCTGAAAACCGTTGAAACAATCATGGCGACGAATAGAAAAAAAAAGGAACACCAAAGAAAGGGAATGAAAGATCTTCGTCTAGCTTGCGCGTCTTAGCCAATCACCTGCCCCTGTGGCTCGGGGGTTGTAGAATACGGCCACGGTATCCCCTGCCTGTCGTAAGAGGCGACTAAAAGGGGGTTACACAAACACATACACACACGTACACACACACACGCACACGCGCGCGCGCGCGCGCGCACACACACACACACACACTCACTGACTAAGATATTAAAAGTATAGATCGAGTATGGGATCTAAAAGTATGGAACATATGGAAGTAAAAGTATGGAGAAAGTAAGACAATGATAAGATAATTCAAAAAATGCGCGGGATTTGGGGCTGGCAGCAGTGCTGTCAGCCCATTCCCACGGCGCGTGGCCGATAGAGTTCGTTGGGTAAAATGGGGACAGATTAGTCCCCTAAAGCGCCGCACAGTGGGGTATTTGCCTCTCAAACGCGGTAAAAACTACTTTAAAATTTGCTCAATCTTCACACTGTCATAACATTGCTAAATTTCATCCAAATTTGATGAAACAAATACCATTTTAAAGCTTACACTTTCTATTTTTTAATAAGTCTAACGTTATCGCATTAGGATATTTTTTTTAACAAAGGTATAGATATAAAAAATTATAAAGTTAATTATCCAGATTGAAAAAATTATTTTGTAATAGCCCAATCCTTTCTGAATAAAACAAAAAAAAATCTAGCTCAATCGGACAAACAGTTCCTGAGAGAAAAATTCGTAAGTGAAGCCCGTTTCCGTCCAAATAGGCAAAAATTGCAAACTTCGAAGGTCTGTAATTATTAAACAAATTCGAAACCGGCAAAATGATGACTTAAACCCCTTCTAATTTCATATGGACTACAACATATTTCATTTAGAACAAAATCTTCGATGGTGATGTCGAAACGTGATCGGTTTAGCGTTGAAACCGATGACTCAACATCGGTGTCAATAATAGTAAAAATCACTGTAGATACCTGAATAGCAGCTAGTAGCAGCTAATTTTTTTTTTATTTTAAAGGCAAGACTTTGCACTTTCAAATGATACCAAACAGAACGCGGGATTCCACGGGACTTTTTTAAAAATACACAATAAAGATGGAAAATATTCAATACGGTATAATTCCGAAAATATTATAGATAATTAAATGAAACTTGGTACAATTAAAATACATACCTGGCACGTTTAAACCCATCATAGATTAATTAAATTGAGTGAGAATTAAAAGCGTAAATAATAGTTGTAGTTTTTAAGAATTACGGAGTTGCCTTCTTTAAACCTCTGTACCCACGTTGAAAATTAATAAATGTGAAAAACAAGTATACTACATAGTGGGCCAAATATTCAATTAACTATTTTCATAGTACTTTTTGACTTTAGAGATAATTTTCTAAAAATGACTTTTTACCGCGTTTGAGAGGCAAATACCCCACTGTGCGCCGGCCCCTTAAGGGGCGAAATGAGATGGTTGATGGTTAGCCAATCACCAGGCACGCAACACTGCCGAAAACGCACTACGATTCGTCAAACCGTCCCCTCCAAGGACGATGATCGCGCGACGGGCCCTTCGACCGTCGATCTCGCGCAAAATTCTTCACTCTTGATCGATCAATCGTAAGTACGTGATCGGGAGCCCGTGTGTCCGAGAGACAGAATTGTTTGGAATTTCGTGATAGTTTTCCTCTGCGGTAAAGACCTCCGCGTAGCGAGGCAGAGTGCCGTGCGAGTTGCAATAATCCGATTCTTAACAAGGACTCATAGACGCGCACGTTAAATTTTCCTCCTACCTAATTTTCTACCTTTTCTTTCCGTTTTTAAATCGTTGCTCGCGCATTTTCCATGTTAAATTCATTCACGTAATAATAAATTATTTAATCTCGAAATTCTTTAGTGTTTGTCTCTCGTCGACGTTCTCGTCCGATAGTTCGTTTTCGCCGCGACAAGTGCGTGATCGAAAATCTTACCGTTCTTTGGTGTTCCAGATCATCAGGCGAACATAAAGCGATATTAACAAGCGAATTTATAAATCTTGTATTCAATTAAATAGCGTATCGGTAAGTCGTTTCCATTACATTTTTCGAACACGACGTTTATTTCAACTGGCAAAACGGGCGATCTGGTCCAGCCCTTCAGGGTTACGAGAGTATCTCAGGTCAGATCGTTCCATCAAACGAGGTATCGACCGATTATATTCATTTTGGGTGTTACCATTTCGCTTTTCCAATTTCTTGTTATAAAAGGGGCACCTTAGTCCAGCCCTTTCGAGGGTTACAGGAGTACCTCAGGCTGGGGTGCACCCTCGCCAATTTCTCGGTAAATCTAATCTCGAATAAAAGGGAAGCGAAATAGTAATCACGTTTGCATGACCGGAATTTACTCGTAAACGTTTCAATTGTGATCTCAGGGCGTTTCCATATTATAATATTTTTGTTAACTAATACTAAGCATCTTTACCCTTGTTATCATCTGCCATGAACTGGTATTTTCAATATTAACGAGTTTTCCAAATTTATTCAGTCTCAAGTTTTGGCATTTCTTGTATTTTGTTATTCATTGAACCTTTCGTTCAAAATTAAACCAGTTTCGTTATCCGAAACAGTTTCAAATTCATTTCAAACACATTCCTACACTTTACAGTCTAAACCACGCTTACCAACGTATACAGATTCAAGGAGGGACCCGTACGGGACCCAGAGCGCTGAACGAACCCAACGAAAGGCTAATAATCTAAATTCGATCTAACATCGACAGCATTGGCGACAGCATTGGCGTGGTGGGGGGAAAGGACCGCGTTGCCATTTACAGGATTGCCTCGAAATAAGCAACTCGCTCGGGACTCATAGAAACGGACCTCTCACTCATTTCTCGGACCTCTCACTTTGCGAGCGACTTCAAGCAAAGAAGAGGGGATACCGTGTTGCGTATTTTGAAGAAATATTTTGAAAGTTATTTCGAGGCAATCCTGCACTACTTCTTTCTTAGACGTAGAAGATCTTGAAAAACTAAATTTCTATCGATATTTTCAATCATTTGTGCAACAAATAAGCCCCAATGGCAAATAAAAAACGTACAAATCAGACGTTTCCGGGTAGGAGAAGGCTCTCCCTCAAAAGAACTTATAGAAAACTGTAAGTGCTTACAAAATACATTTCAGTAATTTGTGTGCAAATATTTACAAATATTTCTAACCTCATCCGTTCTACTTTGCAGGCGACAAAAACAATGGCAATCGTCGGCATCGACGATTGAACCTACTGCAGTTTTCAAAGAGAGAAATTCTCTCCCGGGAAAACGTTGTGTATCGAAAAATGTGAAGGAGGTTGGTCAGACAGATATGTCAGACCCCCTACTAGTTTGTAAATATCATAATAATGATCCTTCGTTTATCTCAAACGATCCTAAAGATGCGGGGCGCATCTCATCAGAAAACGCCCTTCGCAAAAACGATGAAACTGTCGTACAATGCGAATGTACAAGTGACAGATACACTGTACAAAACGTCTTGGACAATAGCGACAACAATCTCGTCGTAGACGTCGGACACGTAGATGTGGGACGTATTTCGGAAAATGTGCCAGAAGGCCGCCGCATTGTTGACGTTCAGTTCTTTTGGAATGAAATACATAGAACGTTTGACAATCATGCGCGAGGTATTGAATGTCATTTTCGCGATTGGAAAATGATCGGTAGTTGCCAGCATGGGTGTCTCACACAGTTTTTCTTCAAGTGCCAAATGTGCAATTACGAAGATACTGTTTGGTCGGAACCTATGCATTCAGATATAATGAATGTAAATGAGGCCATGACGACCGCGACTGTTACAGTCGGAATCGGCTACGCAAAACTGGAAGAATTATGCGCCGCCTTGAATATGCCTTGTATGGCTGAAACGGCGTATCTGAGGTATCGTGAAAAACTTGTAGATGAATTTATGAAAAGCGCAATACATATCCAGCTTTTACTGTATTTCACAGGTTATTTCGACGCCATATTGACTTCTATCTGTAATGTAATTGGTCCGTAGAAATGAGTATTAAAAGTACTTGCAACTTCCGCTTACCTTATTTAATTCAAATGGTTAAAAAGTATATTGTCTTCTGATGGCATCCATCATTGATTCCATCAAATCAATTTGATTTCGAAAGCAGAACTTACGCCATAGGTACTCGCAAATATGGTGAGCAAAATCTTCGTCATGAAAACGGGCTCTTCCCCGCCTCCGATCCTTTGCTGGCCGCCAATTGGATTCTATTTGTTGGGTGTGAGTACCATCAGTTCCTATCAAATCCGAGGGTATATTATTTATAAAAAAAAAACTAACCTTAGGTATACCGGCTGTGCTGTACTCCGCCCTAACCCTAACCCTAACTCTAACCCTAGAAATAGTAAAAAATGCCAATTATAATAGAAATCGAATGAAAACCAAGTTTAGACTAATTTACCTACAAATTCCACGCTATGGTTTATTACTGATTTGTGAATAAAGCCTTCTTCAGCAAGTCCTACGTAGCTTCTGAAGCAGTCGGTGTGAATTTCACTACCGGTGATAACGTTTTCTTTAATTATGGGAATTAGGGTTGCCGCTTCACGATTTTCAACAAGCATCATTCGGCAATCTTTCGTATAAGTATCCACCATGCCTAAGACCCAATGGCCCTCAACTCTCCGGTCACGGTTGTACTTTCTTTTACCAAATTTGGCTTCGTCAATCTTTCAAATAACATAAAAATTGCAGTAATCAAACGGAATAAGAAATCATACAAAAATATAAGGATATAGAATTGTAACATAAAGTACCTGAACTATAATAGGAGACCCCGATTCCGTAATTCCGCCTAATTTTGGTTTTCCATTTTGAATACTGGAGAAATGATCCACTACCATTTCCCGGCAGTAATGAAATCATTCCGCAATTGTTGCAGACGATAACAAAGTGGAGTTGTTTTCGATATCGTATAACTCATGTACCGTATACTCATACGAAAAATCTCGTGAAAAGCAATAAATCAATCTTAAAAAAATAAGTAACATCAGAAACAGTTTGAAGAATGCATTAATTAATCGTCGAAATTACAAAAATCAGTTGAATGTTACCTTATCGCTTTGTCTAACGGCAGGTGAATGTCTTCAAAAAAGGAATCTATGGTCGCTGCAAATTGTTTGCATTTGTCGCGACTGTCACGTAGAAAGTTCACAGGTTTTTAAATGAATAGCACTTTTAAAGGTTTAGCACTTTATTTTTATAATATGATCCCGACTGACTCTGCTTATGTCCGGTAAGGTCTTTTATAATGTCGTTGGTGGTGGAGAAGGGGCCGATGATTGACAAGGTGGGATGTCCGTGACAACGCGTTTTATCGAATACTTAAGTAGGTGGTCGTAATATGATGTTTAGGTGTCCGGTCTTGAGGAGTTCAATTGTTCGAATATCGATCGTTTAGGCGGGTGGCTGTAACACGATGTTTGTCCGATCGTGGGAAGAATTCGATTAACGTACGTTTAGGCGGCTGGTCGTAACACGACCAACGACACATCGAAAGCGACCAATTCCGTGGTCTAATGCAAACAATTTCATCGCCTTCCGATGAACACGACACGTTTTAGTCACCCGCAATTATCTATTTTCGCGAGCCCATGCAACAGCCGCTTCTGTCGACTGAGGCAAATTGGTAAAATTCCATTTAATACTTTGCATGATAAAGGAAAACCTTAGGAAAAGACGAGAATTGCGAGGTACAGACGGAGAAACAATGTAAGCTACAGGTAGTAAAACAAAACACGTGAAAAATGTAACAAAAAACATTTTATTAAAATGTGACAAAAGACATTTTATTCAAATGTTCGCCTAAACGGCCGCCATTCATGTAATTCTGTTTTACCGACGGCGACTCCACTCATTGGACGACAACCGGCTACAAGTCAATATGGCGTCGAAATAACCCGTGAAATACGCTCAAAACGCTCACCTTTACACACGTATAACTTTCGAACCGATGGATTCTGCACCTTAAAACTAGGATTTTTAGATTCTACTCGTTAAATACTTCAAGAATATAAAAAAAGGCCATCATTTTTGGGCCCCTGAGGTAAAATTCAGCCCTATTTCTTTTTAAATCAGTCAAAAGCAGCACAAAACTCAACAGTTATTATGGTAATTGTTTCACAAACTTGTATTCACTTCATGCACTTTGGTAAATAAATTATTTTAAAAAAGCAACTGAATTATTATTTAATTTTTCCAATTTCATTTCTGAGTTATTTATTTAATGCCTGTAATTTCTTCTCTCAGCTATTTATAGAATTGACTTAAATTCTTCTATCATACTTAACTTCATTTCTCAGTTATTTATATATAAAACAACTGTTTGATCTTCAATAAATTACAAACATAATATACATGACAATCAAACTTAAATCAAAACACACTAATTACTTCTCAATATGAGAAGTTTGACCTAGACCGAGGTGCGACCTCCTCAATCTTATAGCGACCGCTGAGAGGTGCGGATCAACCTATCAAAAATAAATAATTGCAAAGGGAATCTTTGGTCCATAAAGAGTCCACAAACACACATATACTTCTAATTTACCTTCGTTGTTTACTTGGATATACTTCCGAAAAGGACATACCTCCGATTTTTTTTATACTCTGGATTCTTACGTATTTTGACGTGCTGATTATGAATATGATAGTGAAAATTGGCGCAAATTTTATTGTAATGGTGGAAACCATGAGAAAATCATAAAAATTATAGTTTTGTCCATTTATTTCCGTAAATAATGGTAATTTTGAAAAATACTTTAAATAAAAGTTGTAGGTCTCATTGAAATACACATTTTATTTCCTATTGATTTTTGTTATAAAGACAATAGTTTTTGAGAAAAACGATCAAAACTTCATATAATTCAGCCAACACAAATCAAGTTTTATTGTTAATTTCATTAGTTAATACTAGAAAGAGATACAGCAAAGCTCCTCCCTCGCCCACGAGTTTTTTGTATCATTGGATTTTTAACTTTCCACGCGTAGCGAGAGCCACTCTTTGCGGAAAGCTTCATCCCCAAAAGGAATAACCACCGACAAGATCCCCTCGAATCACTGAAGAGATAATAATAGCATCGATCAGATAATATATCATCTCACATCTCATGATACAGTTCAGCACCGACACTCTTCGTTGATAAATTCACTGATTCAGGTTCTGCTTCTTACTGCGGTCGGAATATATTCTAGAGAGAGTAAGAAAACGTCGAATTTTTCTCCTATAAAGCCCCGTCCAGACTGACAGACATTGCCCGCAGACAGTCTACATACCATGTCCGGCAACATCACTCGACTTTTCGCGGACAACGTATGTAGACTGTCTGCCGACGATGTCGTGTGTCTACATCAAATCAGTATGTTTCGCTATGTCTCTGAGCGAGGTTGCTCTCGCGGTTTATGGGGCATATCTGTTTCTTAATTTTCGGAAAAAGAAACAGAAAGCTACTAAGCGATTGTGTAGGCGTAGCTTTTTAGAAGAAGGATACAGATATGGATATGATCTCCTTAAAGAAATAAATCTAGAGTTTGTTTATAGTTTGAGTTAAGTTAAAAACAATTAGTTATAAGAATTTGCAGTTAGTGCACTCTGTAATAAACAATTGAAACCATTATCGTGTTGATTTTATTCCCTCGACGGATAAGGCAGATTAATTTCGCATGAGTGTGTAGCCAACGCTACAACGGCGATGAATTTGTCCTCTTAATTATCGTCAACAGTTTTCTTTCTTATTGACGTTGACGGCCGCCACAACAGTGTAACCTCACCATCGACGAGAGACTATTCTCCGTCGATAGTTTCTCCTCGGTTGTGACCGTCATCGGCGTCGGTATAGAAGATTGCGTCGATAAAGAAGGTCGCCGCCGATGATCAAGATCTTGCCACTTCGATCATAATTTAGTCGATCATAATTTTTTATTTATTCATTTGTATCAAACAGAATAATTGTATATTTATTTGTCTCTTATTCTTTAAAACGTGCGTAGACACTTCAATGTTTTTAACATCCAATTCAAATAAATCGTTTATAATAATTTCACCTAAAGATTAAATTCTAATACGGAAGAAACGTTTCCATAGCCGAAATCAAAAGCTGCTGGTTTTGTTAAATCTATAGTCACTAAATTAAATTTCTTTTCATTTTATATACTTAAAACGTAAGTTTAGGATTATTTAAGGACAAAGTTGTATTTGTACAAAAGCAAAGTAATAAAAATTATTTAAATCTATTAAATCGTATGTACATTTGAATACCCCTTCGTATATAATACCGTTGTCAGATATTGGGCGAAAATAGCTGCATGAAGCTTTATATGAGGTAGTAAGTACTAGTAATGGAGCAAGCCCTTATCTGGCAATGGTGCTCTCAACTTACCACACCACCAGCACAGAGCAGACGGAATGGAAAGCGGTGTTCGAGAGGTTGGCCAGCAGTTAATTGCCAGCATTTAATGAGTGCTCTTTGACGCGCCGCGAGAACCGCCGTTGTAACGCTCGTAATGGCCGATGCATTTCTGAGACCACTGCCCTTATGTACTTGCCTCTGCCTACCTTAGTGTTGTTTGCATGGCCGGTAAATGAAAATGGCCGCGTATTATCGGGTTCAACTCTGGTACACGTATAGGCGGATCGACGAAAACCACTTTAACGATTGAGATATTAGCTGGCGAGAAAGAGACCAACAGATCGTGGAACGAGTCGTTCTAACCGGCCTGGCACAGCTCCATGGTGTTTTGTACCTTTTTGCCATGTCAGGACCGCTCGACACCGCTGCGGTTAGCCAGGCAATGTCCATTCGACGGATATGAGAGATTTAACAGAGCTGGGTCAATGTTGGCTAAAACGATTTATTGGTTCTATTCGAGAAGGATTTTTAGATATCTTGAGAAAATTTGACTTTCCTTCCGAACTTAGGTTCTGAAAGCTTAAACTACATTCAGTTATTGTAATACCAATGGTTCCTTTTTCCTTCAAAATAAAATAAAATCAAGATTTGACTTTCCTTCTGAACTTAGGTTCTGAAGGATTAACCCCACATTGGGCTATTGTAATACCAATGGTTTCTTTTTCCTTCAAAATAAAATAAAATCAAAAAATTTCGAATAAAATGCTGATGGATTCCTATGGAAATTCAATGGTCGCCCAATTATACAAATTTCAATCTCAGTAGTCTGTTTATTAACAAATCAAATCAAACGATAAGAAAATCAAATATTAAATTTTGTCTGCAATTGTGAATAGAGGGTTCCAGTTTTCAAATAAAAATTTTCATAATAATTTGATTTGCCTTAAAAATTCCTTAAGTTCTGTATACAACTCAGTAAACTCTGTAAATTTTTCTTCAAACCTTCACCAGAACACAATTCAGATATCAATGCAGAAATGTCCCAACTTTGACAGAAGAACACGAAAACGTTTGCGTGTTTCTTTCAGCCATCTGGTGCTCGTTTGTCGTCGGTATTGTTGCACTCCCTGGAGACACAAGATCTTCATTCAAATATCCACAATCTCGAGGAACATAGAAGAAATTCGTGAACGAGGTTTACAGCTCGTGGAGACGTTCCCAGTGGACGACGATCCACCTAATTGTTGTCCATTCACCCCTTTACTCGCGCAGAGGGCGCGGCTCCTTCGACCCCTTTTTAACCAAACTTCTTCCAACACTATTACTCATGCATTGACGTATTTTGACAAGTTTCTCGGTGTTGCACAGTGGAAACAGTTTACCCTCCTACAGTCGCGAGCATAGTTCTGAACAATTTGCTCGCGAGCAGCAGATGGGCGTGATTCCAGAAGTGATTAATTTTCCCCGGGCAACCTGAGGCAATATTTTCATTTAAACTCTCTTTAAACATAAAACTTCTGATTTTTCAATAAATAGACTGCTAACATTAAAATTTGTATACTTGGGCGACCATTGAATTTCCATTAGAATCCATTAGCTGTTTGATTAGAAATACTTTGATTCACTTAATTAAAAATTGCGAATAATAGCGACAAATTTTAGACGTTCTTCTTTGGAATCATTGAAAGTCCTAGTGAATCATTCCCGACAGACCGATTGATCATTTGAGTCACAGGTGTCTGAAGGTATCTTAGGTTTATGCGAATATTTCACTCTGAAGTTTGCTCTTGGGACCAACATCCCAGATTGAAAGGTCTCTGTTCAACGGTGATGGAACTTGCTCTTGAGAGTTCCATTCTGATTGTTCGGCATTCCAGTAAATTGTCGTTTTTGTCTAGAGTTCCTAGGATCTCCTATAATAGCGACATTTGTAATCGTCCAGGACATGGAAAATATTTTCTTCGATACATTTTCAATTGTAAATACAAATTGCAACAATGCAAAAATAGGTAACACAGTTCGATCGATAGAAATATCGACGATCAATAATGGTAGAAATCGAAGGGATCAATTAATTCGTCGACGGATCCAGTACGATGTCACTTTAATCAAAGGGTATGTTGAAGCAGTTTACGTGAAATTTATGTGGCTGGTCAAAGTGGCAAGAACGAAACGCGGAGTCGACGATCGGACACGCTGTTGCACAGCGCTGCTCGTCATTAGAGGGATAATGCATATCTTAATGATTACGAAACGAAACACTGACACGAGCGAGCGTACGTAAGTGCGGCGTTGAATGGCGACCGGGTCCCCCAGGCCCATCCACAATCTTGTAACCGTCCCACGCTGCTGCAATCAGCTCCCCATAAACTACAATCACGACACGTGCTATCCCTCCATGGTGCATCCTGCGCTCCTGTAAACAGGCGATACCTGCGAAGGATTAAATCCGCCGAGGATATGAATTCAAAACGATACATGGTGAGGCGAATTAATAGCGCTTTTCAATGTTCCGCGATGGAAATGATCGAAGGATGGACGAAGAAAAGTTCTGGATCGATATTTTTGTAAAGTGTTAACCCTTTGAATGGTCGATTGACTGGACCATCGATGATTATTGGATCTATTGGAAAATAATATTACAATTAATAATTCTTAGTAAATATAGAAAATTAATAAGTTAATAATTACCAATAATTTTTTATTTTCACTTATTAATTATTAATAATTATTATTTGTAAATCATCGATGATTATTGGATCTATTAGAAAATAATATTAGAATCAATAATTTTTAGTAAATATAGGAAATCAATAAGTCAATAA